CTGGCGGCGTCGGCGGGGCTCGGGGCGCCGGGCTGGGACAGGTGTTCGCGGAGATGACTTCGGGAGCCCTGTCCCCGGGAGGAGGGCCCCTGCGGCCACAGCCCCCGGGCTCGGGAGGAGCGCTGTTCCTGCGGGTGGGCAGAGGTGTCGTCTCCAGGCCGAGACAACTCCGGGGAGACACGGTGCAGGGAAGGAGGGCCAAAGTGGGGCGCCGCGACCCCCGCGCGCGCCGCCTGCAAGGTCCTGCAGCCCTTCTGGGAGGGCTGCCGCTGCCAGGGCTCTGGTCCAGGGTGCGGACGGCCGCAGCGCGCACCCACGCCAGTGCGATGGGGGAGGAGAGGCCGTCCCGGGGCCCTCCTGCCAGCCCCGGGTGGGATCGCTGGGCCAGGGATCCGCATTGCAGGTGCACCAGGAGCGCCCCGGGGCCTGGCCCAGCTTTGTCTGGGCGGCTGTGGGGTGGAGGCGGTCAGAATCCACACCGCCTTTGCAAATGCGCCTTCGCACCCTGTGGACATTAGAGACCCTCGCTGCTAAGTTACATTGCCTCTGGTCCTGGTAACCCTTTCCGTAAGTACTCTATCTTACGGCCCTTTTCTGAAGCTTTGATGTGGGCTTTCTTTTACCCTAAATAACGTTTCGTTTGTGCTTCATGAAACGAAGCAGAATGCAAATCTGCAGCCGACCTCCAGGCTTGCCTGCTAAGCTGCGGTCTCTGCTACCCGTGAGTTACTCGAGGTTCTCCAACTTAACGTTTTCGTGCCGACCGACGCTGTTTAATTCGAAGCTTTGACATTTAGCAGGGCCGTTTATTCTAATGAAAATGAGGTGACCTGAGAAAACAGAACTCTGCTCTGTCATTTAGGTTGCTGGAATCGGTTTTTATAACAAAATGCAAGCTACCAGGCTGTAGTATTTTAATATAGTACACATTCCCAAAAACGTGCAAGAGTGTTAAAAGCTCAACTACCATCTTAAAACTTTAAGGTTGACATTTATTTTAAAAGCTTTGTTGTCTCTTTTTTTTCTTTTTTTGCACAGTCAAGAATTTCCCCCCCACCCCCACCCCCCGCATGTTCTCACCACTGAATGTTAAGGAAAAAGGATGCTGACAATCTAAAGGGACTTTACCTCCGAAGATGTTTTGTGATTTATGTATTTATTTTTGTTTAAGTGGTCATCTTATGTGAACTATGTCTGGAAGATGACTTTAAGACTGGCAAATACATATATATGCACGTATGCGTATAAACACAACTACTGAAAAACCTTAATGTAGTTTTATTATCCCTCCACATCAGTAAATTTAGTTTAGGTATATTTTAATATCTAAGATACAAGACTATTATTTCTGTTTGTCAGATTTTTCTGTAGCACATTTAGATATGTTATCCTATAACCGGTTTGGGGTTTTTGTTGTTGTTTTTGAAATTAGATGTTTCTATTGTTAACTCTGGGGTGGAGAGAGTAAATCATTTCACTTAAACAGATCGTTCATTTCGAGTTCTTAACTCTTTGTTCTGTCATATGTTGGCTAAATTGATTTGAATATCATTACTCAACTGACCGGATGCATTTGCAACAATACTGATGTTACTAACCAGGCTGTTGCTTTTGAGAAGTATTATGAAGCATCTTCTCATGTGTCTGGCAAGGAAAGACATGGATTTTTTCCGTCTGTCTGAAACAAGGTCAGCCATAAATAGTTCCTACTACACAGCACATCCGTTTACTTAGCTAGGGTCCATCGAACCTGCAGAGTTGCGTCTCCTTCTAGGGCAACAACTCGGTGCCTGTCTATGTTCCGTACACCAAGGTAGCAGTGCACGCCTGAGTTAGATGCAGTTCCAGACTAGTTAGGGAGGCGTAAGCTTAGTGACACCAGATTTCACATCTCTAGCTCTGATGCTTCACCCTCCGGAAGGCTGGGCAGCGGAAGTAAATATTCCTAATTGTCTTCAAATATTTGAAGGTCTGTCATACAGCAAAGAGAGTTCCATGGCTCTGTGGGGGGCGGGGTGGTTGTTTGTTTGGGGGGTTGTTTTTGTGGGTTATATTTGGGGGAGGTAATAAATCCTGAATACAGAAGCAGCCAAGTAGTACTCGTGAGAAAATAGATTCCACTTTGACATAAACACAGAAGCAGCGTATAAGGAGAACTTCTCGCTCCAGAAATAAGGGGCTGCTCCTTCCCTGGGGGACAGAGTATCCCCTAAGCTGGTTCCCCAGTTGGCAGAAAGGCTACTAGGAGGTATCACGGAGTTGTTGGAGGGACCTTTGAGGACACCCAGAGATTCTGGTGACAGCTGGATTGGAGGACTTCCACATTTCCCTTCTAGCTCTGTGGTCCGTTTTCATCCTGCATACTGGCTTCCGCAGCTGTGGGCTCAGCAACATCCCAGACACCTGAATGAACCCTCAGAAGGCTGTGCTGAGTGGGAGCCAGCCTGGTGTGGGAGGATTCGAACCCGACAGTGTATCTGTGTGGGCCTTGCAGGCGATAAAGGACTCTCACAGCGTGTTAATAGACTCTCTTTAATTTTAATTATATGTGATCTGTGTTTCTTCCTTTGGCTTTTATTTTCTACAATAAATATTTGATCAAGAGGAAAATGACCCTGGGGCCAGCAGTTGGCATAATGGCTATGTCGCTGGACTCTCATGTAGTGGATCGCAGTTTTGAGTCCTGGACG